TGCGAAATCGACGATTCTCGCTTCAACCACCACAAACTTCAGCATGTTCCAGCAGATGCTAACAAGCCAAAGTACACCTATCAAGGTCAACATCATCAATGGATCTAGACTCCTGTCAAACCATCAAGTGGGTTGGACGTATGGAGAAGGTATTCGTCGGGCTATGCCATTGCTACGCCTGAAACACAAACATAACCTCCTCAAGGAGATGACTCTCTAGCTCTGCCAAGAGCAGTTACGTATCTAGCTGTCGCAGGTCCACCGTGAAATACGTTGAAATGCTTGCGCCAGATTGCAGTAACGGGATTGCTCCACGCGATGTACGTGGCGGCGATGACGCAAGCCAGCTTTCCAACACGTTTCCAGCTGCCTGAACGGAGCAGATCAGCCTGCTTTTGGACGATCTGACATTAGTTTGGCATAAAAGCCTGTATCGAAGCGGTCTGTCCTACAATGCTGCTTGCCGAAAAGCAGAAAACGCTTCATGCGCCGCACGAAAGAAAAATGCGTAAGCCGCTGAATCAGCTGATACGAACAGCATTACCGCTGTTCACATCAGCCAGGCCATGGCTAACCACCTCATCAATGGGAATCAAGGACATTCAGGCCTCCAGGGTCTGCTCGAACGCCTTTCAGGACTTCTTGGTTAAGGCCCAGAGCTCATGGACAGTGAATTGGCTGAAGTGTTAGACTACATTTTTCGCACTCCTTCCGTTGGGATCTGCAAGGAAGGAAATTCTTTAAATCTCAGCCAGTTGCTCCATTCACTCCTACTGGACCTGAAGTGAAGGTTTCTTCTGTCGGCCGTACCCATTCGGCAACCCCAAGGAGTGAGTCAAGTGGCGGGAATGTGACCTTCTGCGTTTCCCATGGTGACGGTACGACACTCTGCTTCATTTTAAGCGAGCGAAAGGTGGTCCAGCCTCTGATGCTCAAGTGAATGAAGTGCACCTAAAGTTTGCCTGTCCGTTCCATCTATGTGAGCGCCAGAAAACGCAAAGTGACCAGTGGCGCTTCCTGTCGGATTGCACCAAGCCGCCCTGCAACAACAACACCATCAGCTACCGCAACAATTCCAGCGCAGCGACTATAAGCGTGAGAGAAATAAGTATGACAAAGCAAAGGGCAAGAAGCCCAACAAGCTCACCCATTGTGCAGTCCCCAGGAGTGGCAAAAGCTGGGCGAAGATGGTCCAGCCAAGCACATGACAACTCCTGAATCCTCGAGGAAGACTGCAACAGATCAGTTGGAAGTAAGTCAATCGTCTTGCTCCAATGACAAGACAACAACATGAGGGTCTAGATAGAATAGAAACTTATTGGATTAACAGTCAGCATACAACATTGATTGATATCTTATTAGGTAGGTAGCTAGCTAGCTAGCTAGCTAGGGTAGACTACCATAATATGAGCAAGCTTTGAGGCAAAGTGGAGATGTTTTTAAAATAGCAAGGTATTTTATATTTCGTGTTTATCATTTGGATCCTTTTACTTATTTTACTCTTTTGTACCGGTACAGTCTGGCTTTGTGTTGCTGAAACGAGATTGAAGCTGGTACGACAAACTCACGCTTTCTGCGGTAGGCTACCGCTAACCGATAGCTCATAGAACTTGAAAGAAGACAAAACATGGCCTCGATGGGACAATCAAGGCTTGTGCCTCGCTTGTGGAGCCTGGTCGGCAGATGCAGGATCGACCCAATAGTATCAAGCAATCGTTCCTTGGCCTGTGGATTCACTCATCATCCCACTCGTTGCAGCATATGGCAGGTTGACAGTGTTGTTAGAATGTCAACATTGGGGCGAGTGCCCGACTTGTCATTGATCATGTCTGCGGCCAGAACGGGAGATATTGAAAATGCTCTTGCATCGCTGGAAGAGCTGGTGTTGTGTGATTTTTCGGAGGGCAGCACCGTCGATATTGATCCCTCCAATTTCAATGCTATTCTGGATGTGTGGGCTCATTCGCCGTTCTCGCAGACTCCAGCCCAGGACGCCGAAACGCTATTGAACAAATATGTTGAGCTTTCCAAGAAAGGGAAACTAGTTCAGGGCCCAAATCCAGTTAGCTTCAAGATTGTCATCAATGTTAGGGATTCGCGATTAGGGATTCAACCTGTACCTCTGTACTAGAATTTGATGCCAGTAGTAAAAGCTGGTACCCCACCCACTTTTTCAGTAGTATCTCAATAGCAAGTAAACTAGAAGAGAGCTTAGAGCAACTAACATATTACTGAAAAAGTGGGTGGGGTACCAGCTAAATGGAAGATGATCCCGACGATCCCCAGGACAACGTCAACGACGACGACGCCGAATCGATAGTCAACGAACCGAATGAAATCGTTGAACCGAAAATCGAAACGGAACCAGTTACACAACCTATCGTCGAAACGGTAGAGGAACCGGAACCTACTACGGACCAACAGCCCCTGGAACAGATCCCAGGAGTGGGTGTTGAAACCCAAGCGGCACCTGAGCAGACGCCAGGAGTGCGCAGGTCTAGTAGAGTGAGGACACAAGCAAAGGAATTCGCTCATATTCCAGCTTTGACTGAAAAAGTAGAGAAAAAAAAACCCGCCCAAACGTCCATACAACTGAACGTGTTTGCACCCAGATGCACACTGTTCTACACACAGGTAGAAGAAACCTGATGTGGTAGCAGCATCATGACACAGTTGTCATTGAAGGCTGGACTCAAGATGGAAGGACAAAGCGCACGATCAGCCTTTGCCGAGATGAACAGTTACATCTCAGGGATACCTTCCGTCCGAGAAAATGGAAGAACTCAGCGATATGGAACGCAAGAGTATCCTAGAGTCACACCTGTTCCTAAAGTTGAAAAGGAAGGGAAGATCAAAGGCCGAGCGGTTGCAGGAGGCAACAAACAGCGTGACTTCATCTCAAGGAAGACGCAAGCTCGCCAACAGTTCGACAGAAGCAGTGCTACTATCCTGCATAATCAACGCTGAAGAGGAAAGGGATGTGGCAGTAATTGACATCCCAACGCCTTCATCCAGACAAGAGTCGAGGTGAAAAAGATATGGTAATCATTAGAGTAAGAGGAGTATCTAGTAGACATGCTGTGTGAAATAGCCCCAGATGTCTACAAACCGTTCGTAACAACGGATAAGAAAGGCAACAAGCAGTTGCTACTGCAATGCTGAATGCCATCTACGGCACTATGGTAGCTAGCCTACTATATACCGTAAGTTCCGGAAGACGATGGTCCGGAACGGATTTAGAATTAATCCTTACGACCCCTGTGTAGCCAACAGAATGGTGCACGGCAAGCAACAAACAGTCTGCTGGCATGTAGACGACTGTAAGCTTAGCCACAAGGACTCGAAGGTTAACGACCACTGATCCAAGTGCTTCATGACGAATACGAAAGCATATTCAGGGACGGCACTGGAGAGATGACGGTGAGCCGAGGAAAGTCCAACGTATCTTGGCATGACCATAGACTTCACGACGAAGGGTCAATGCAACGTATCAATGTACAAGTACGTTGATGAAATCCTGGAAGCCTTGAGAAGGCATCGCCAGAGAAAGGGGGCAAAAACTAGAAGTAGTGCAGCCCCGAAAGACCTATTCATAGTAGACGAATCCTGCAAGAAGCTCCCAACGAGCAAGGCAGACACATTTCACAGCCTGGTGGCTAAGGTGTTATTCGCTACGAAGAGAGCCCGACCAGACACAGGTACGGCGATATCGTCCTTACGACTAGAGTCAAGGAACCAGATAGGCAGATTGGGATAAACTAGTCCACCTCATGCAGTACATTAATGCGTACTAGAAAACTACCATTAGTTCTCAAAGCGACGGAAGTGGCATATTGAAATGGTATGTTGATGTTCTTTCGGAGTCCATCCAAACATGAGGGGTCATACCGGAGGTGGTTTGACCATGGGCACCCGTTACCCATTATCGACTTCGACGAAACAGAAGTTGAACACGAGAAGCTCAACTGAGAGTGAACTCGTAGCAGTTGATGACTGATGCCATCGATCCTTTGGACGAGGCAGTTCCTTCGGAGCAAGGCTATGTAGTTAAAGAAACTATAGTCTATCAGGACAACAAGAGTGCCATTCTTCTAGAGAAGAACGGCAAAGCTTCTAGTAGCAAACGAACGAAGCACATCAACATTAGGTACTTTTGTGAGCGACAGAGTCGCAAAGAAGGAGATCAGTGTGGACTGGTGTCCCACTGATTATATGGTTGCGGACTTCTGGCGAAGCCGAACCAAGGTCGACTGTTCAAACAGAACGTGGACAAGTTGATGGGTGTTGTGGAACACTCAGAGCCAGGGACTCAGAAGGAGGGTCACGGTCGGACAAGAAGGTCCGTTCAAAGAAGGAGCGCTAAGCGCAGTAAGTAAGTAAGCATGGTCGACGACTAGGACAAGCTCGACGACCACAGAGTGTGTTGGGATTCGCGATTAGGGATTCAACTGTACCTCTGTACTAGAATTTGATGCCAGTAGTAAAAGCTGGTACCCCACCCACTTTTTCAGTAGTATCTCAATAGCAAGTAAACTAGTAGAAGAGAGCTTAGAGCAACTAACAATCAAGGCCTATGCTCTGACCAATATGATGGTGGATGCCGAACGAGTCCAACTCAAATTATTCAACGCAATAGAGGAAGGTCTTGTACAAAATCCGAGCAGCACTGACTGAGTGTAACGAGAAGCAGGAACGACTCGACTCTGATATTGGATCCGGCAATTCCCTCAGAAGGCAGAAGCTGTCAATGATCGGGACGGTACCATAGCCCATGGACGTTGGGGTCGGCTTGCGACCAACTGGATGGGAGACACCACAAGGAATGAGCGAACGTGCCGCTTGTGCCATAGCAGCACTACTTCTTAGCATGAAGACATCGAAATGCTTCACAGAATTGAGGACTGATTGACTGATTGCTCTAGCAATGCCAACACCTCCCATAAGGACACAGCTGGCGAGTTTCAACCAATTGGGTGCCACTAACTAGTACAACATTCTTTCACTGGATTAACTCCGATCCTAATAATCCGAGCACTTCAAAAGATAACAGTTGAAGTTGATTATTGATAAAAATTGTGTGTAGTGCAAACCATGGAGCACCGCACAGCATCTACACCAAGGACTTGGCATCAAAATCAATCCCAGCTTGCGAAATGACCCAAATATCCTTCAAATCGCGGTACAGTTCATTGTAATCCAGCCCAAAGCCAAGAACGAATTTGTTGGGAATGGAGAACCCAGCGTACTTGGCCTTGGCAGCCGGTGTTTTATCGTCGCCCAGCCGTTTTTCCAGCATCGTGCATACCTCCAATGATTTGAGTTCAAATTTCTGCAACAGAGGAAGTAGATTGGCAAGTGTGGTTCCCGTATCGACAATATCTTCCACCAAAATGACATGTCGGTTTTCGAGATCCTCCTTGTTGAGTTCACTGCCCAAAAGCGTCACATTCCCACTGGTAGCAGCGCCCACGTAGGATGATGCACGTAAAAATTCCATGGTGTATCCTTGCTTTAAATCTTGCAATGCGTCCAGCAAGTGTTGGTAGAACTATCCGAGAAATTTCAAAAGAAAAAACAACAACATGTAGATTGAACCCATGCATCGGTCAGTCAAACATTTATTATTTGTTCTTGGACTTGTCGTGGTAATGGAAAGAATCTTACCGGACAAGCCCCTTTGAGTGTGCAGAGCATGACAGGTCTGGTTCCTTTGTAATCTTCATGAATGCATTGCGCCAATTCTTGAACTCGACTATCAATTTCCTCATGGCTGATCAGTAAGCTCCCCAAGTGCCCCTCGTACTCGGGGGGATACAGTCGAGTCTGAGTACAATTGAAGGAGAGCAAGAAACAAGAAATCAGGGTTGAGGTAGAGAAGGGTCTGGAATCGAATCATCCTACAGAAGAAATTTGACCGAAACAGCCTCTTCCTTGTCCAAAGACAAACAAACACACGCCAATCAAGCAAACCCCGTACCGAAAGATCAACATCAGCTCGAGAGTCGCCGGTATCATCAGATTCTGGAACCCAACGCAACCCACGCCGAAAAGATCCTGGTGATGGTTGCCAAGCACATGAAATGGCCAGCAAAGAAATACAGACGACGACGACAAGTGCGTACCGCTGGATCAACATTTGATGTGCCTTCATCTGGAATGACAGTCGTTTCTCTCTTGTTGGCTGTGGATGTCATGGTCAGGAGGTGTTGAAAGAGCAAAAACCAACGGAAATGAAGAAGCCAAGAAAAAGAAGTCAGAACAAAAATGAATGGCGCGAGGAGGAAGATTCCCTGTCAGTCGTGGATGCATTGGATCTTCGGGACTGGAGAAGAACTTTGATGAAGGCACTGCACGGAGGCAGTCATTGTCAGTCTACAGTATGCATCATGGGGACAGAAGGAACAACCGTGGCAGGAAGAGCAATGGCTGCAGCGAAGAAGCATGAGCAACCAAAGGTAGCCATTAAAGCCGCTCCTACTGTGCCATCCCTCGGGGACGATGACTCATCCGATGAGGAAGGAGGATTTGTAGAATTTACGCCCTTGCCTCAGGCATATTGATTGGCCCACTCTTTTTCCATATCAGGCCGATGCACGAGAGATTTTATTAAGGAAAAGAAGTCTGCCCGTAGCTGTACCCAACTCACGGAGAAACAGTATACTTTGACATGGCACACTCACTCTTTGGCAGTACGGTAGTGGTAATAACAAAGAAGAGGAAGAGGAAGAGTGAGACTTGTTCCGATTCATTCCGTCATTTCTGGGCGATGTCACCTAGAAAGGGGAAGGCGGAATTGGCATCGCAATAAAACGAAAGACGCTGTTGAGGCAAAGAATGAATGAAAACCGTTTATGCCTGACGGCGCGGATCGGAGTCAACGAAATTTCTTTGGAGTGCGATGGTACCTTTCCACCACACATGCCCGCAAACGTTAAGCATCATAGGCTGAGTTGATAATATCTACTTTCAATGGCATCAACATGGTGCCAACCAATGGTTGTTTTGAGAGGACGTTTTTAAGCATGCTCAGGCGTACAATAGCAGCCCTTGGCCTTCCTCAATATTTCTCCGTGAAAGCTTGTATTGGTTTGTCCAAGGATGCAGTAGTGTAGGCACGTACAACAAACGAGCCGGTACGGTACGGTAGCTAAGGAAAGTATTTATTCTGGCCTATAATCTGTTTTGGAGCCGCACCGTAGTAGGGAGTCGAGCTCCCGGGTCTTTTCAGGTGCTATTCCAACAGGGAGATTATTACGAAACTACCGAGGGCTTCTCGCCATTACTTTATGCAAGTTGTGTTGGCTCCTTTCTTTTGCGTGTTGGAAACAGATCTGCACAATGGCAACCAGTCTATGCCAAGAGCAAATAAATGTGAGTCTGCTTGAAACTTTCAGTTCTCTGCTTAGAGTCGAGTCATGGCTAAGGTGCGTGGAGTGCTAGCTTGCTTGCTTCTGGCCTTTCATGCTCCATATACATAAGATGCCTGCTAGCTAGAAGTGATTAGTTGAAGGGTCTGCGGAGCATAGAAGAACAGGGTTAAGCATATATCAAAACCGCTTGCAAGCATTTATTTTCGCATGCTTTTTGAGTGCCGCAAAGTGATTAGTTAAAGGGGCCGCAAGCGAGGAATAGGAGTAGTGTATTCATTCTGGCTTTTAGTTTGGTCTCCGTAGCAACGATTACTTCTGCCAACCTGTGCTAGCCACCGGTATGACATGTTATCTCAGAATCTCCTTCTTCCAAACCCCCTCCTGGCACCACCGAATCCTCCATATCCCATTCCACCAAATCCTCCTCCGCCCATGGGTCGAAACCTTCTTCGTCCACCTCCCAGAGCATTCATCATCATCATGGTATGAAATGGATTAATGCCCATTCGATGCCCGGCAAATGCAATTCCACCAAGTAACATCATGGATTGCAAACTTCCATCAAAGGGATTGAATCCACCACCAGTACTCCAGGAAGAGTTGCCTCGTTGTCGGGAGGAACTGTAATCATCGTAATAATAGTCATTGTCGTGATTTCTTTGTTGTGTCGTTCGTCGGTTATTCGTGTTGTAGGGGTAGGACGACCGTGATTGTTGTTGTTGTTGTCGTACAGATTCCGTGGTTCCATACCGTCTATATTGATCATACGCACTGTTGGATCCATAATTTCCCATACTTCTTGTATTGTTGGCGAGTCCAAAACGACCTCCAAAGGCCACATACAAAACCAACAAGAGGAGAATAATTTTGAGGACCGTCTTGAGATCACTCGATTGACTGTGATACCACGCCGTGGCACGCCCCCAATGAAATTCAAAACGTTCCCAAATCGTCAAGGAATCGTCCACATGATGATTTTGGTGATTGTTGGACTGTTGTTGATGATTTTGCGATTGATTGGGTGGTGGCGTTTGATCCGTAAATTGCTGCGAATTATTGTGGGCATTCTCGCTAGTAGTGCCAGTACCACTAGTACTTGCCGTCGAAGCCGCCGCGGCATGATCTCGCCTCAATTCCCGCAGGAGCATTTCTCGTGCCATACTATTGCCAGGATCCAGAGAGAGAGCACGCTGGAGTTCATTACAAGCATCGTTGGAATGTCCCCCCAGGGCAATATAGCTCGACGCCAATCTCACGTGTCCTTTGGCCCAACTGGGATTCAAGGCAATACATTGTTTCGCATTGTCGACAGCGGCTCGGGCTTGGGCCGGACCACCAATTTTTAAGCGACACGCCACCAAATTGGACAAGAGAATTTGCTGTTCGGATGCCGGACAGTGGAGATCGGGATGAATGGCAGCGGTGTAACTCGTCAAGGCCGCTTCGTAGTTGCCACGTTCGTACTGCTGTCGCGCCAATTCTTTAAACCCCAACCAGGATGTGGGACTGTTGCGGGTGGGAGATGGTTGTCGTGTCATTGTGGTTGTGGTTGTCTTTTGTTTTATAATGTAAATGAGACCCTTACTTGCTTTCATACAAGCGTGAAGGTCTTTTCTTCTGCCTTCGGTTTTCATCATTCGCGTCAAATGAATCGTAAGCCAGCAAGCCTGGCAAATTGAGTCGTTCTTCCACGCGGCACTCATTTTAATTAAATCTTTCAAATTTGTTTTCAAACTCTCTCTCGCTGAAATCTTGAAACGAGAAGCCCTGCATGCATCTGCCGCGGGGGTCCTCTGCTCATCACAACACAGTCAAGGCTCTTGGTCTTGGACTGCTTGTTGCTTTCGTCGTTCTTTTGGTGTGTCTTTCTTGTCCAAGGAAGGAAGCTGTTACCTACTAGCTAGTTGAAGGAAGGACGAAGAAAGAAAACTATCTATTCCAATCATTCATCATGGGAAATTATCTTCCAAAATCAGGTCAATCCTTGGAGTCCTGCTCGATTTCCGATTTCCAACGAGCGTTACAATGCATGGGAGGATCGCATTACCACGAGACGTACAGTCCCTTATTATTGGTATTGTCGACCAAGAAGATGGAAGGGGAATTGGAAGCCTTGTTGCAAGGGGCGTTGAAACGACCCGCGCTCTTTGCGGATTTGTTTCAGCGAATTGGCATCGACAACGCGTTGCATCGAATGATCCTGGAGAACCAACTCCGAACCCATCACCAAGCCATGCTCGACAACAACAACAACAACATGAGCCATGCCGACGACGACAACACACCTCAAGATCTGGTCGATATAATGGCAGCCATTGGCGCCGAATGGAATGACGCCAGTACGTTTACAATCTACTCCCAGGCCGTCCAAGAACATTGCCTCACGGTGGGGTGTTTGGGCAAGATTCGAAAACTCGAACAATGGACTGTCGTCTTTGAAGGATTGGGTTGTCGCAACATACTGCACCAGAACGTTCTCTACAATCGAATCATGGATGTCGCCAACGAACGCAATCCAAAACGAAACAACAAGAAACGAAAGCTGCCGCCTCCTGTCGTGGCCGAGCAAGACGATACTCCTGCCACTATTATGAACAGCATGCAGCCCAAATCATCACCCAAACGTTCTCTCACTCGATCATGTTTGGGAATGAAACAATCATCCACAAGGGGCAAGAAGCATGCGTCTTGGGCCACCGTACAGTAGCTGCCAGAGACAAAGGACTGAAGAATGGCTCGTGGGGAGCTTGGTACATCAAGTGGCGACAAGAATAAATACAAGGAAAAACCTCATTCTAAAGAACAATGAGGTGACGTGAACACATGCACGCGACGCATCAAGCAAAAAGGTCGAAAAAGAATACGCTGACGAAAGCTGGGGCGGAACAACCATAAAATCTCGGGGATTTTTGTCAAGAACTCAACACGAGAACGAATGAACTACCAAGCACAGTAGCTTGGTACGGTTACATAGAAACAATAATTCATATATCAAGTAAATAATATTTGGGGACTTCAGAAGCTACTGTATCGTAGTCGAACAAGGACACGACCTGTCCATTGTTGACGTCCCCGAGAAACCTGCAAGATAAATTCTATGTAGATCATAAAGCCATACAACAAGAAGCCGAAATGTCTTCTCGTGTTGTCGTATCTGCTACCGGTAAGCAAGCCACCTTTTTCCATTAGAAGATGCATTTGCGAATATTCCAAGCCTCTTTTTCATTGGGCGCTACGCGATAGTTCCTCGTTTTCCGACACCATCGTTCGAGCCCGTTGGGTTTATCCGTAAACCTTGTTGGCTCTACGCTGACTGTGAGCATGGCACATGCCGCTTCCAGAGGCACATCCCCGACAACAAGCACTCTCCTCTTCCAATTCCAAGTCATCACGTCGACCACGGTAATAATCTCGCAATGCCCGGTCTTTTACCACGAATTGAAACAGTGCCTCGAATTGAAAGTCGACATCACGGTCCTCCTTGAAGGGTGATGGAGCTGCCAGACGAGCCGAATTGGAGACCAGAGTGACGCAGAAACGCACCCAGCTAGAGACCTTTCTCGAATTGCTCGTGGCAGAATGTTGACGAAACTCAATGGTGGGCTGACGTCCCGTCACGAGATTCTGCAGGTTGATCTTGTGGTATCGACTGCTGCCCGGGTTCATGAGATCTGCCAACTCCGCCACGCTGCTGCAGCTACCCAGTGCATCATGGCGTTGCTTGTTTGTCGTGTACCCGTTATCATCGAGTGCCTGGCGATTGGATTTGAAAAACTGGTCGCATTCCATGCTTCCTGTGCGTCGGGAGGGAGGCACCAGAGCATCAATGACATCTTCGTATTTGATGCAGTTTTGAGCAATCTTGATGAGCTGTGCGAGACTCAAACCAGAGACATCGACATGAACATGAAATCCCATACTCTTGTTGACTTGCAGACTGGCGTTGTTGATGTGATTACAGGCATCTAGAACCCGAGATGCTTGATTGAGTCCTCCTCCTCCCACCAAAATGGGAGAGACCAATTCAAATTTGGTACAATAGGGAGCATTGCGGCTACAGACAATGGAGGAATCCGGGACCATCTTCCATACTGAAGTAGTGTTGTGGGCATCCGCGTAGTTTTGGATGCAAACAATTCTTCCAAAGCGGCCTTTGAGTTTGTGTGTCAGCTTGCTCGCAATCTGTTCCACTGAAGTGGTAGCATCGGTGGATGTCAATTCCAATTCAATTCCGAAATTTTGGTTGGGGTTAATCTTGAGCATCGGCAGAGGTCTTACAGCGGCTCGTTCTGTGAAGGAATGCTGACGGGTACCGTAGCTTTGTGCGCCGAGAACAATGCTATGATGGGGTCCATCCTCGCGAGTCCCTCCAGCTCCTAGAAGACTAATCTTGGCCACAGTGCCGCCATAGGACTGTTGTCGCGTACTAAAACGCCAGACCTTGGTTCCATCGGGACGTTTGACGGAAATGGGACAAGAACAAGCAAAGGATCGTGGCTGGAAGGTGCTGCCCAGATCAAATGTCACCCTCTGAATGACATCTGGATCCCCTTCCAAAATGTCCACAAACAAAGTCCAATCATGGGTTTTGCGGTGTTGACCACTGCGATCCAGTTTGGCACGATGAGATGGAATTAATTGGTAGGTATTCCCCACAGTGTAGACAACAGATGTCATGGTGGGTAGGCTTGGGTAGGGTGGGGGTATCGTACATACATGTACAGTTCGAGTCAATCAAAAGAAACCTTGCTACCGCCGATGATTGTGCGATCGCTTTTGCCTTCGGCAAACAGAGAATAGATTAATTAGATGGGGCGATCCGCCGTGGTTTCCAAAAAAATCTCGAGGCGACAATGTAGCGCTACAGCGTAGATGGAGAGTGACAGCCTCTCAAGTGACAGTTGATGAAACCACGAGACGGCTGTCTGTCATGGTCGCTTTTTGGGATGTCGTGCTTTTAAGATTGAGGCTAATTTAAGGCTAGCACTATTTCAAAAGCTGCAAGCGTGCCACTTTTTTCAAAACAGCCTCAAAGCCGAAAATACCGTGGGAGTCGAGTGCGGTGATGCTCCATTCTTGCCGTTGCACGATCATGACAGCTACTTCGTCGAGTCTTCGTCATGGACTCGGTCTTTGGCTCGACGAAAAATGCTCCGTTGATTTCGACCTGGGACTTGTTCGTTGGAAGCTTTCCAAAGGAGGTGGTCTTGCGAAATGAGGAAGTTTTCCCTGTTTGTTATTCCCTCCAACCACGCCGTACCACGATGGCTTCGAAGAAGACAGACGATGAGCCCTTGCAAACTCGCCAACACAATGACGAGGCACCTCTCAGTATCGTACTCAGAGATTTCGTCAACATGAAAAACAACCGAAGGGCTACTGTCATGACGCGCTTCACGGTCGTCCTTTACATGTGCTGTTCGATCTTGGTGTATCTTGCGTTTTCCAAGGGCCACGCCGAGAGCTGCTATGGCTTTTGCGACAAACTGACCACGACTAGTCGGTTTTCTTCGTCACCTTCTGACTCTGGCGACGAGCTCCGTGAAAAACAGCCCCTGCCGTCCTTTGCGAATGGGGGTATCATCTTTTGGCTGCACGTGCCAAAGACAGGCGGTGTGACAATCAGAAAAGCATTGCAACGAGGAAACGGCCAATATTTGCTGGCGGATGACCGACGAAAGTTTGACGAGCACAAGAAGGCTCTTGCAAAGTATCTCAAGTATGGAACCGATGGTCAAGTCGTGGTTTTTGAATTGCATGCTTATGATAGCCCACCGCTGTTCGAAATGAGGGAACGGCTCCATCGATGGCGAGAGATCGCGGAACGAAGTAATGTGCCCTTTTTCGCCTTTACCGTCCTGAGAGAACCAGTGTCGTTCGCCCTGAGCTTTTTCAACTTCTTTCACGGCATGGATCATGGAGACGAGCACTTTGAATACTACGAGACAGCCAATGAATTTGACCTTTTGAATCACGCAGTGGTTAATCCACAGTGCGGCTTCTTGGTACAAGGAGATGTGATCTTTCACAACAAGATGGCGCAGCAAACTGTTGTGCTGCCTCTTTGCAAGGCTGCTTACGAAACTCTCTGGGAGGAAATGGACTGGGTTGGTACAACAGCCTCACTTAGCAACGAAACTTTTCCCTTGCTTAGGTCAATTGTGAAATCGAGTCGAACCAATGGCGACGCAAACCATTTGCTTGCACAAAACATTCGACACCGAAACAAGTCACCGGATAAGGTGACCAGATCGGATCTTGGTCCAAGAAGTATAGATCAGATTCGAATGATGACACGATGGGATCAGACAATGTACTACAATGCACAACGAGACTTTCCTTTTGACAAAATGCAACTTGTGGAAGACCAGAAGCCACCTCAGAGATCGACTGGTAGGCGACGTCCTCTGTAAATGCCCGAAACTGGGCGCTTCAGTGGCACTCGACACAGTCCTTTGGGAATCCCCGTCTACTATTTTAGTTATTCAATATCCTACAAACCCCTGTAATAGACTCTATAATGGCAATTGCCCATATCTACTTACCTTGTACTGCGAGACCAGCGGCTGTATGCGAGACCAGCGGCTGTACCGGTATGTCATCGTACAAACGAAATTTTCGGAAGCAAAACACAGCCTGCACACATACGGGTATACAGAAGAGCAAGTGCTCAGCTATCTATGCCACTGGATCGATCGTATGCACGAAAGTCTCGATCTTTGTGGTCAGGGTACATGAAAGTCTGGCTTTTGCATTGAGAACCTTGCGCAAACATCCTGGCTGGCTAGTGTTTGTACATGTGACGGTCGTCAGAGCATCTTCGAGAGCTGTTAATAAAAAAACTGATACACACCGATACTTGATAGCTACCGGTACGTAGTATTATATTGGAAGCCCCCTATCTTGGCCCTACTGGAGGACTGCAACCCGTCACTATGGGACCCGTGCAAAGTGCTGCTAGCATGTTTAGCCGTCAGATAGCGGAACTGAAGAAAGAGGTGGAGCAATTGAAGGCCGAGCTAAAGCGTTCGAAAGACTTCCAGAAGCACCTGCGCAATGCTCGAGACGCTCTGAAGAAAACCCAAGACAGCTCTAATAATGTTGTTGTCGTTATGGGCTCGCAAGGATCCGGGAAGACCACACTGAACCACTACCTCTTTGAGGTAGAAGGAGAGGCGCCCGTTGACGACGACAACCATGGGACAAAGGAGATGTTTCGTGCTCACTCACGCGTCTTGGATGCGGATGTGGTTGATACCATTGGCAAGACACCGAGCGCACAAGGGATGATGCGAGTGCTTGCATGCGTCTACAATCGCGGTTGGAACCCTGTGGCTGTCATTGTGGTCCACACTGGTCGAGCAGGGTTCTACGAGGGAGTCGCCAGTCACCTTCATGCAAGCAAGATCAACCTCATTGACTTTTCGCCGAAAGTGTTTTGGAGGATGGTGAATGAAAGCGGCTTTGAAGTTGATGCAGCTCTTGAGGCCACTATTTTCCCCCCGAAGGATTTGAAGGCATTGAATCATATTCACGCCATGGGATTTCCGAAAGACGGAGGAAGAGTAAAATTTGCAAAATCTCAAATCACAGATGGCAACATCTCCTATGAAACATGCCAGCTCACAACGGAATTGTTGAACATGATTGACAACCTTAAGTGGGAAACCAATCCGCCTGTTGAAGATCTCGATACCGGGACGATCTTGTGCTACTACATGGTCGAATGTATTTCCAAGCGTACGTGCTTTAAAGGGTCGGATCTTGATTTCATCGATGCAGAGTGATAGTCTCCACCCTGCTCTATACGGTAGCCGAGCTGTTCAGTACGGTACATGTGCGAGAAAAGTTGCAGACGCACAAATTTGCGGCATGTACTTGGCGATGGAACAGTCGGTTGGCCGGATAGAAATGTGCGGTTGCTGCAGGGTCCTTGGATGGTGTTAGAGTGTTGGTCCATTTTCACTGCTAGAGTACTGCAGTGTGTTTAACGGTGCCAAATGTAACTGAGGTGCCTGTAGCGATAAAACTTTGATGAGTCTAATAGTTTATAAGGCAAAGAGTATGGCGAAACAGCATACTGTACCGGAGTCCCAAGAAGCTCAGAAACATATCCTCGTGAACACACAAAGCAGCAAAGAGTGCGACTTTCTCAGACCAAAGGAAAAGAATGCAGATCCTCCCGAGAAGGAGTCCAGCAAAGCACAAACAGACGAATTGATGCTCCAGGTTTGCACCATACTTGCTCAATCAATGCGTCGCCTGGTATTTCTCTCATTGTTGCCCAAAGCTACTCCGCTTCCTCTTTTGAAATGCAAAGAGCTGGATTTCTGGATAGCAAAATGAACAGCGCGGGCACATCGTGATTTTCCTTTGGACACGAAATCAATCCATGGGAATTCAGACTTGGCAGAACTCTTCCATAGATTCCTGCTACACCATTCCACTTCAAGAGAAAGGCCTTCTTTTTCAGAAAGTTGCTCATGCTTCATAACTGATACAGTAGTTGGAATTCTTTGACCTAAATGTGAGCCTTTTCAATTGTTGTGTTATCGCAAGAAGAGAAAGAATACTAGAGGCGCTCAACAATCTTTCACCAGGCTTCATGACCATAGTGGCAACATACCCATTGGCTCTTTAATTAATGTCATACTGTCTTTCAGAGCATTGATGTCACTGATAGTATCATCATGCAAAGTCAACGATGCATCATTCAGCTGTAAGGTCAAGTAAGTGTTGGAGAGCGGTGCTTTTGATAGCGTGGACCGAAGACTTATAGCGTGGAACGTGGACCACGACGTGGATCCATTCATTCTACGTCTAGCCAGCTGGTTAAAAGCAGCTCTTCCAATGTCTTCCTGCTTCAGCTTCAAATGATTTCAACTTTCGTAGCTCAGCCTCAGTGTCTCCTTGGATGCGAGCGACAGCCACATCCAGCGCCTTGGACCCTGTCTCTTCATCCTGTTCAGTGTCATGATCCTCTCTGCACTGTGCATGGACCTTTCACTTCTCCAAGACAGAGTTGTGAGTTCCAACGAATAAGCAAGAAAGGAAGGATCAATGGAAGAGCTACTCAAAGTCGGGGATCGTACCTGGTACATGGTACCGGTACCGGTACAGCTAACGATACCGGTAGATGCCCCCAAAGAGATCAAGTATGACGATGCCAGGAAGCGCAGGCCTGGAGCCAGGATTGAATGAATCTGGATGCAAGAACACAGAGTATACCGTATGATCGGCGGCGTTTGCCGGGGGAGTGAAAAAAGCAAGGACATCATCGTGTTTTTGAGATTCTGCAGCCCACTGCGCCATACGGTACGGTAGAAATGGCTTCTAGGGAGATTGATGGAATCAATCAATCTTTCAAGTTGTTGCTTGTAGGCAGTCGCAGCAAGTGCCAGCCAGGTGCCAGGTGCTGCTAGCTTGTTCACACGCATTATATGCGCAGGCTTTCTATTTTAGAAGAGAGCAAGAAGGTCGAGTTGACCTACCTCGTGCCTCTGGAGCTGGGGCGTGCCAGCTCACCAAAATGCAGTTCCGTCACCAAACGATGTGCATTGCTGAAACATCTTCTGGCTTCTCGGTAGTCCAGCTAGCTAGCTAGATACCGGTGTGTGAACGAAAGATCATTTCAGGGACGGCCGGAAAATTCTTATCCAATCCATGTGAGAGGTTTCCCCTACGTTCCAAAACGAATCAGCGAATCTTTATTGTGTTGACACATTGACACGTCGTTGGCATCCGCACGGGATCTTTTTTTTTTTTTTCTCAGGATCTACGGAAGCTGCCCGAGATCTTTTGGTAACAGCGGTACCGTGGTGCTCTGCACCAGTTCACAGAAGATATCGAGACACTCCCACTTTTATTCCTTGGATCTGTTGAACCAAGGCACCAGAAGCAACATATAGTTGGCTAGCTAGCTACTCATAGAAAGCAGCATGCCTTCCAATGAACAGACCAGGCTCTTGAGCGGCGAGAATGCCCAGGTTAGTGTAGTTTGCCATGTGTTGTGCTCCAGGCGGCCCATTGGAATACATCGAGGGAGTGGTATCTGACACCTTTTTCTTCATCTATTTTTATTCGCTCGAAATAGTACTACCAGCAAGGATTGAACGATCGACCCAATGCAGGCTCTGAGCTGGCCAAAGCAGGTCGCAGTGCTTCCATTGGTGCCTTGGGTGGATCTTCCAGTTTGGGTAGCTTTCATTTCAAGTCAGCTCCCAATGTGCAAGGATTGCCCAAGAGCTACAGTGTCAGTGCCGATGGTTCGCCGAGTTATTTGACACCAACGCAAATGGGTCGTCAAGAATTGTACCAACAAGTGCCCTTTACAGCCGTCTTTGGGTTGCAAAAGAGAGAACGATTAGTTAGTCAGGCATTTGCCTCGTATGCCGCAGAATTGGATGTCAAGGACCAAAAGGGTCTCAGCGATGCCGAAAAAGACAGTCGAAGAAGTCAGGCATCCTTGATTATCTTGGATGAGTTGGAATTTGATGCAAATGTAGTTACGACACCTCTGGTTTTTGCCATTATTGTGGCGGCTGCATCTCAATTCTTGGTTGGATACAACACCGGTAAGAACGTCCAGTATCTTGTCAATCAATGAAATAAATCAAAAGAAACAATCCGCATGCGGCAAAGGAACTCAATTGATTTGTATTTTTCTATTTCACTCCAGGTGTCATGAATGCCCCAGAAAAGGTTGTATTTCCTGGACATTCCACAGGAGCATGGTCTCTCGCTGTTGCAGCTTTTGCTGTCGGTGGACCCTTTGGAGCTTTCGTCGGAGGTAGGTGTCATGCTTTCCTCGTCAGCATTTTGATTTCCTTCGCTTATCTTAGCTCATCTTATCTATCTTGTGTGTACTTCATCTAACAATTTATTTTGCTTTAGGCAAAATGGCGGACAAGAGAGGGCGTCGTGGAGCCCTCTTGATCGACACTTGGACTTTCTTGGCCGGTGGTATCCTCCAAACGTTCGCCTGGGACATGTATACAATTATCATTGCACGTTTTGTCATCGGTTTTGCGTCGGGATATTCATCAGTCTTGGTTCCAGTCTATCTTGGTAAGCGCTATCCTCCTATTGGGCATGGCTGACCTTTGTTTTGTACGACGTCTGTCTCTCAAATGCCCCGTTTGGTCACATCGACACTTGCTGTTTGTTTTATCAACAGGTGAACTGGCTCCTCCTACATTGCGTGGTATGCTTGGTACATTGACACAATTCGCCTTGGTCACGGGTATTCTCGTGGCCGATTTATTGGCCTTTCCTTTTGCCACGGAGAGGGGGTGGCGCGTCTTGTTTGCGGTGACAGTTGTGGTTGCCGGTGTTCAACTGATTTGTGCTCCATTCCTTTTGGAAAGTCCTCGTTGGTTACTTGGACGGGACCCCAATTCACTCAAAGCTCGGTACATCATCAAGAAACTTCGTGGGTTGCGACATGATCACGAGGTGGAAACCGAAGTTGGTTTGTTCGTCATGGGAGGTGCCGCTCAACGCCAGGAAGATGCTTCGACAACTGTCGTACTGCGTGAAATGTGGAACCACAGCCGTCTTCGAGTGCTTCTGCTATCTTCCTTGATGTTGCAGGCAGCACAGCAGCTCTCGGGTATCAACGCTGTCTTTTACTATTCTACCGCCTTCTTTGATGGAGTCATCGACAATCCACTTTTGGGAACCACCATTGTGGGTGCCGTCAACGTGCTGGCCACCTACGCAGCCTTGTTGTTGATGGACCGCGTTGGACGCAAGACACTGATCCTTTGGTCTTCCGGTGGCATGTTGCTCGCTTGCGTAGTCATTGTACTGTCGCTGCTGGATTACTTTGGTCACATCATGGCCTTGGTGGCTGTCAACGTGTACGTGTGCTTTTTTGAGATTGGTCTGGGTCCTATCCCCTGGTTGATTGTGGCCGAGATGTTTGAAGCCAAATATGTCGCCGTGGCCATGTCTGTATCCAGCCAGTTGAATTGGGCATGCAACTTTATCATTGGATTGATCTTCCCATACATGAACAATTATTTGGGTCCCTATTCGTTTGTCCCCTTTGCCGTTGTCTTGTTGATTACCTTTATCTTTACGTGGACAGTGCTTCCCGAGACGCAAGGAACGACTCCGGGAGAACTAGCTGCCGAAATGACGAGACGAAACTCGATGAGTGTCGTGTACGAAGCCAATACAGATAACGCCGGTGCGATTGATCTGGAATGGCGCAAGGCCATGGAACAGCTACGACAAGAAGAAGAGGCACAGATGCAAGCAGGGACCTATGGTAAGTTAGTTAGTTGTGCACGAGTTCATCCTTGATTTCGTGGACTGCTTGCTGATTCGATTCTCTTTTTTCCTGTGCAGACTATGGTTTCAAGCCAATTGAGCAGCAAGCTGCCCCTTCAGTCTAGCTTGGCCACCCTTGCTAGCTGCATATGCAGTATGCTTGTAAAACTGATTCGTTTGAGATTTGTTGTTGTAAAGTTGAAAGAAAAGAAAGAAGTGTGCAGTCCATTCCGTGTGTAATGTCAGCTGAAGCAACAAGGACTACAGTGTAGTAAGCCTTTAATTTTAAAAAGCAAAGCAGGCTATCATTATAATATGGGATTCTGTTCCCCGCCTATGGCAGCGATTGGGAGTTAAACATTCCGTGGGATGCCCTTTTTACAGTGACACATTAGTGTCCACCAATGCTGGGCACATACATCATCCCTACTGTACATTTATTTAATAATGTGCGCAGTAGATGCTATCGTTTCGTTCTCTTGTTGGATCGATTGTTTGGCTGCTGTTTTGTCGTTTTTTGTTGCTTGACAGGTCTACCTCCTCCTCCCTTGGACGGCGGTTCCTCACTCTCATCCTTGTTGCTATTATCGTTGTTGTTGGCTGTTGATATTTTCAAGTCATCAATCAATTCTTCTTCGCCTTCTCGTTCGCAGGCATCAAACATGGCATCTTCCAACAATCGTAATTTGGCTCGATCCGCCAAGGGACAATCAAACGACAGTGTATGTGCCGATCCCGGGAGTAGTGGCAAAGAGAGCAATACTTCAATGACATCGAGAGAGCTTTCGGAGGCGGAAAAGAGTGCTCGTCGGAGTCCTTCGGCTACCGCATCGTTGACATCGACTCGTTCCTCCAATTGTTCGACGACGGAAGTAGTAGTTGCAGTGGCAGTGGATGATGGTTGTTGCTGCTGTTGGATACTGACGCGTGCTTCGCACAGCATTTTCCAATCCTTGTTGTCGTTTTGTTCCTCCGATGAAAGCAACTTTTTGATGTAATCGTCTTGTCTCAATCGTTGAATCATTTTGGTCCGGATCTTGTCGTTTGCCTTTTTATCTTTATTGTCGTCGTCTTTGTTATGTTTGTTGTCATGTTTGGTTCGAAATCGAAGCGTGGCCTTGAGCACAAAGTACAATCCTTGCTTATTCTTGTCTTTATCATCATCATCATCATCCTTTTTATGGTTCCAACAAGACGAGCAGTCAATCTGCGCCACCATGTAGTCGCTTTTCCACGTGAGTGTGCCTTGTAGCCAATCGGTAGGTTCCAAAGAGGTAGTATCAGGAGAAGTTGTAGTCAAAGCATCATCAGTATTCCACTCCATTTCCCATGCTTGGATCTGTTGCAGGACCAATGGATCTGGTTTGTTCTCATCTACATATCGTTCCAGAGCCGCCTGAAAGGCAGTGCCTTCTAAAGAGTGGTGAGTGCATGGCGTTGTTGTTGATGTTGTCATTACTGTATGTATCTATCTGAATATACCGGTAGACAGGAAGATCTCGAGGAGAGCCGAAGAAGAAGAACGAGAAGAAGAAAAATGAGTGGATGTCAAGCCGAAGCAAAAATGCCCTTCAACGGTCATACTGTACCGTAACCAGTGACTGGACTGCCACTGTCACACCTTTAAACCTCCTGTCAAAAGCGCTTCATCACTTCAACAGAAATCAGAAGCCCTGCTCATTTTCTTGCTTGCAAGCACACCAGAACTCAATCAGGTTCATTCAGGTCCATTCATAGTTACTCTTTTGTTTCTATAGTCTATAATATATCACCATGAGCTCTTCCTCCAATTCACAACGTTCCAATAATCATCTGCTGCTGATAACCACAGCCTCGACGGTTCTGTCACTGGGCATTTCGGTTCTATTATGGCGCAGTGTCTCCAAACTCCACCAAAAGATCGATGAGTTGGAAACGACCAATAACAAACACACGGGAATGGGAGGATCCTCCCATCGTCGTCACACGAGCGGTCGACGACGCAGTCTTTCCGAACGACAACAGGACAATGAGGATCACACAGTCAGTCGATCGCTGCCACATCTTCCAGCAGGCGAATACCCCCAACCAGAACTCGTCTTGACGGCCGATGCGGAAGAATTGCCCATTCGATTCCAAAAGGCCGGCAAGGACGACCCGGCAGAAGGTCGACAACGATTTGTCGCTACACTGGAATGGCGCGAACGACACGACATGAACACGGCCCTCTATCGAGCGTGGCCCAATTTTGAACTCATCAAGGATAATTATCCACACTATTTTCACGGAAAGGGGCAGAATGGGGAACCCGTCTTTTACGAACAACCGCCCAAGACGGATTTGAAGGCACTCCGTGCAGGAGGGGTCCAATTGAAGGAACTATTGCAACATTATGCCATGATTTGCGAGTTCCAATGGCAGTACGTGACACGAGATGATGAACAGAAATCAATTTACATTGTCGATTTAGAGTGAGTTTTTGATTGCAAGACAAGAGTTATTCATTGGAGTTGGTTTTACATGTACATGGATTGAAAAGGAGAATTGGATCTCTGTCTTTTGTGTAACTCACTCATCTCGATCCTTTGCCATTTCTTCCGTCTCTTTCTTTTCTGTTTCTTTTTCCACAGGGGCATGGGAATGTACGATTTCGTCGGGGAGTGCAAGGACTTTGTCCGAGAGGCATCGCAGTTTGCTTCGGCACATTATCCAGAACGAGCGGGAGTTGTACTCGTGGTCAATGTCCCATACTGGTTCAAAATGGTATGGAATGTCGTCAAAAATTGGATTGATGAAGTGACGTTACAAAAAATATTCATTCTCAGAGGAAAGGATGAAATATTCCAAACACTCTCCGACAAGATTCCCATTGAAAACATTCCCAAACAATACGGTGGAGAGAGTCCCTACGAGCTAGGCAACTCGCTCGAAGAACAATTGTTGCGGAATTTGATGGAACACAACAATGACAAAGAAGACAATGGCGGAATCTGTCCCAATGCCGGGGGCAGTGAACCATGTCAGTTCTGTACCTTTCGATATGCTAGGAACTATTAGTAGTACCGGTACTCTAAGTAGGTTGATTGATTGATTAGTAGCTAGTACATGTAGTGCATCTATCTATCTTTGCAACTTTGCTTACCGGTAGTCATGGGCAGCACCTTCAGGTTAGGATACTTATTACTTCAAACTAAACTGAGTGACAGTCGAGTCCAGCCATTTGCGAGCACTCGATCGACGTACCGGTAGGACCGTTCTACTACTGTAGTTGCTGCGGTAAAGGAAGTGGTGCTGGAAGGGTGCGTCCTTTGGACTGAGACTGTCACTCGCCTGGAAGAGTACCGGTACCGGTACGTTAACCAACACCTGCAATTCACGCCTGTTGGACACTACGGTACAGTACTAGTAAGCTCAAACTCCAAGTGGGATTGGGTGCTTCCTGTGGCGTGTTTTACTTTGTGGTGGGGTTCTCTGTGGATGTAAGATGGAGTTCGGTTGTGGTCTCTTCGTGTTCTTCAACCAAGTTGGAGTGGTGCAGCTGCGCACAACTAGGATCAAGACAAGAACGCACGCTCTCGGAAGCTCCCCAAATCTACCGTAGTTGGAGACGGTGCCCTTGCACCGGCACAGGGTGCACAATACAGAACGATTGCTGCCTACTGAATTGCGCTGGTGCGAGTCTTTTCGATTTTATTACTGTACTTATTAGGTTTATTACAAAGCTACACACCTTGGTTTGTGAAGATGGATACATCGAGCATTTACTTGGGGGTCAACTCATCATCATCAGATTCGGCGTTTGCCTTCCTCTTGGCAAAATAGGCCAAGGACCCCATCGATGCAAAAGACAAGAAGCTAAACATCGACACCAGCAAAGGAGGTGCTTTTGACTTTTGTGGGTGAACGCTGGGGGCAGGTGGGTTGACATTGCTGCCACGAAGATTCTGGTCCATGGATGATGCACTGGGACTTTCAGCTGGCATTCTACTGGGTGTCGTACTGGGCAATCTGCTTGGGGTAGTGCTAGGACTTTGACTGGGCTGATGACTTGGCGCACTTGAACTGTGGCTTGGTAACCCAATGGGAGCTTCTGTCGTTGCACTGGGCATGTCACTTGAAGGTGATGGTGTTGTTGGTTCCGTGCTGAAGGGTCCTTGGGTGTGGTTTGCGCCGGGTGCCAGACTCTGTTTTGCACTGGGAGACTGAGTGGCGTTGGAACTGGGAGATTCACTGCTTGGAGGGGCAGTCCCTGAAGCTGAAGTCGTGGCTCCTGTTGGAAAAGCTGTGGTTGGTTTTGGCGCAAGACAGCATCCCTGACAACTGTACCCCTCTTCTTGCAGGTAAACACTGATTGCATCCTGCTGCTCATACCAGACTTTGAGTGCCTCAAGCTTTTTAAAACCATTGACCTCAACATCAAAGCCTCCACAGTGCTCTTCACATGAGACAAGAAAGACTCCATTCTGATCACTGCCCATAGACTGATTCTTGGTGACATCAAGCACGGTTTGCTTGACAAGGGCACCAAACTTTTCGATTGCCTCCACATTGCCATTGCTGAGTTTTACTGCTCCCCGGCCCCAATCATCATACAGAGACTGCATGACAAAGACAGGAGTTTCAATGTGTTGGACAATGTTTTCAGCATAGACGCATTGAGATGTGTCGCTCTCGTGCTGGGTGCAACCTGATGGCAACATTGGCTGATGCAGCTCAATTCCATCTCTCATGAGATTTCCATAGGTGAGACTTGCTGTTTCATTGTAATCAATGAAGAATCCGGATTCAGGGGCACATACAACTTTGGCTTCAGGTGAATATTGCTGGATGGCATCTGCCCACCGATCGCAATGCAGGAGAGTTGACAAGCCACCAGCACTACACCCTCCAACCACTACATCAGTAGCCATGCCCAGGTTGTGCTTGGCAAAGAGATCAGTCATTCCTGCTTGAAGAATATCAAACCCTCTAAGATGCAATTCAGTGGTGCCGTCATTCCCAATGATCGGATTGGCAATGGTGCCACTGAAAGAAAAGCCATCACAATAGCGAAAGTAGACCTTGTTCCAATCGTGCATCAGTGGGTTGACAGCAGGATCATCAGAGAAAAGAGCTTGGGCTTTGCGGAAGCTGGGCTTGTCATTGGATGTTGTTCCCCACTGGGTTTTAACTCGATTTGTGCATTGTCGAATGTCCTTGCACCAACCACCTCCTTGCATTTCAATGTACCACTTGTTCGAGGCAGCATCAGAAGTAGCAGCCGCATGGTAGTAGAGTCCTGGTGATCCATCAAGGCACTTTGCACCTTCATAGGCTTCCAGTGAAAAGCCTTGCATCTCCACAAATTCAGCATTAGTTCGCTTCATGGGCGCGAGAAGGAGCAAGCAAAGCAGCGGGAGTGCCTTCCAGCAACTCCTTGGATGGAACATGGTCATTGTATAAACTGAACGAAAAATGTCTTGGAGGTGGTCTTTCAAGTGTTGTCTTTCAAGTGTTGTCTTGACCAAATAATGAGTCGATATTAGAGAGTAGATGTCATCCCCACATTAACCAACGATCTCTATCGGCTCGTTTCCCGTGCATCATGGATGGATTCTTTGGGGCTGTCATCTGTCCTACAACAAAGAGAGCGTTTCTTTCGGCGTTTCTTTCGGCGTTTCTTCTCGAATTTGAGTCGAATTGAATCAACCATCTGCCTACTGTACAAATTGTCATCGTTGGGTACCGTTGCGGTATCTGGTAGTTTTATGTTCATTGATGGGGTTGATGGGGTGAGGAGGAGCCCGATATCATCGTCTTGGATGCCAGAACAGAAGCGCTTAAAAGTTATCCGGTGTGGGAGTGGACCAAAAAGGCAAATACAGTAGCGTTAAAAATAGTCCACACGACCCGACCCGACCCGACTCGATTCCACTCGGACTCGACTCGCTTGATTAAGGACTCGACTCGACTGTAACTCGACTCAAGGCCAACTAAATTAGCCAGCTTATTGGTCCGTTGCACGACAAGAACCCTTAGTCCCGTCTCTTTTTCTTTTCTTTTCCGTGTAGCACGCCGGCCAAGCTTGGGAATGAATCTCATTGGCGGAGTTTCGTGCATGCCAACGTCTGTGTAGGACTTGGTATTCTTCCACGCAGCCTGGCAATGTTCTTTGACAGGCAACAGGTGGAAAACCTGAAGCAAGAGCTTTGAATTCCAAAGCACTCTTTGACATAAATTCGATCTCAGCGACTTTGAACGCAACTGGTCGAAATACACTCTAAGAAAGCTTTATCTTTTTAACATTTACCAACCATGCAGGTAAGCAACGCAACACGAAACTGTTCGGCTCGTCGATCTCTTGTTGATTCTGGCGGAGGGCGGTGGTGGAGGAAAGAGCGGACGAGCGGAATTCCAATCAACGGTCATCTTTGCGTTTGAGTATGGATACGATTGGCGATGACCGTGATGGCGAACAATGGCCTCCGCCGCAGCAACAACACACGCCAACAAGGACAATAACAACAACACACGCCAACAAAGACTTGGCATTGTCGTTTGTCCGCTCGGTTCTGCTCCTCATTTCGCCATCATGAACACCTCGCCCTCTTGGACAATCAACGCCGGCAAAATTATTCTGAAAGCACGACACAAAATCTTTTCTCACGCTCCCATTTTCCTTTCCTTTTGATTCCACAGATTTTTGTCAAGACTTTGACTGGTAAGACCATCACCCTTGATGTCGAGCCCTCGGACACCATTGACAATGTCAAGACCAAGATCCAGGACAAGGAGGGAATTCCCCCTGATCAACAGCGTCTTATCTTTGCCGGAAAGCAGTTGGAGGATGGCCGCACCTTGAGCGACTACAACATCCAGAAGGAGTCTACTCTCCACTTGGTTCTCCGTCTCCGTGGTGTATGCAGATCTTTGTCAAGACCTTGACAGGAAAGACCATCACCCTTGATGTCGAGCCCCT